ACTGATATAAAGTATGTGTAGCTGAGCAATTTACAAATAATAAAATATATACAAATAATATTTTTATTGTAAATTCTATAGAGCCAATTGATTCCCACAGAATGTCTTAAGCATAGACAACAATAAAACAATATGTCAAACCCTGATTTGTAGTGTTTGCCACTTTCCATGATGTAAATATTCCCACCACAGTCAATTTCAAGCTGCCAAATGTGATGTCACTGAACATGGATTGAGATAAGATGAGCAGTAGCACATAATTGCATAATATTTTCAACTCACAGATTTAAGAAACAGAGCATAGATGATAGTAAAGAATCTAGATAATAATAAAATGTAGTTACTAAAATAATTAGGAAGTAATAATTTTTGAGTGTCTTAACTTTGTCTTTCATATAATTTAATTTTAGACTTACATAACTTAAATATTTAAAAATCTCTGTATTTAACCACTAGCACACGAATTCCTATTTCAATCCCATTTAAGCCAGTTCCAGCATGCCATTGAAAAGTATACTCCTAGCACCTCACTGAGGCAGGTACTGTTAATCCAAACCAAGTAACTACAGTCAGAGTCATTAGCTCATCAAACAAGTAAATTAAAATGTTTAATGTATAGGGAAATGGTAAAAAAAAAAGCCTGGTACAAAATTTCCAAAAGACAGTTCATAAGCCTTGTGTAATATGAGGTGTCTGAGAAGTCAGCAGTGCCAGGACAGAGTAACAACATCTTGTCAGCAAGTTGAGAATGAATCACCAATGGCCCTATCTAAAGCAAAGAGAAATTTCTGACTACCGCTCACATACTAGGTTCAGAGTTGATTTATTCATAGATTTGTTCATTCCAACAATATCTTTCTTTTAATTTAATGTATATAACCAGCACATGGAAAACTTTTTAAAAGTACAGATTCCTGGACCTTAGTCCCAGAGATTTTCATTCAGTAGATCTGGTGTGGGGCCTAGGGGTTTGTATTTTAACAGGCAAACCCCTCTCCCCATGACAGATGATTCATTCAGAGAATTACATCATCCAGCATTTACTGACTACTTATTCTATGCCAAGTTCAGAATGTGTAGATACGAAAGAGAGAAAACTTGTCCTCAAGGAGACTACAGAGACCAAGAATTATAACTATAATATTGGTACATACCAGCTGCTTTGAGAATACAGCAAAATCCAGCTTGGAAGAGGGGTCGGGGTCATGAGAGAAAATGATGTTTGACCTGAGCCTTGAAGAAGGAGAACAAGCTAATCAAGAAAAGAAGGAGAAGAGAGGAAGGGACGTTCAGGGCAGAGAACAGCATGTGTACAGCCACATAGGCAAAGAGAGTTTGGCCCAATAGGACAACAGCACATGCTTTGGGACTGTACCTCTTATTAGTGTTCTGTAGCCACATTTACCTGGCCCTAGTTTTCGCATATAGTAAGCACATATTTGTTAGACTATGTTCAGTCATAGAGTTCATGCAAGGAGTGGTGGAAGATTAGGCAAGACAGTTATGGCCAGGTCAGGAAGTGCTTTTTAGAATTCCTAGTACAAAGTAGGAATTACTTTTCCACTTTGTATTCTTCCTTCCACACTAGATTTTAAAATTAGTTTTATCACCATTACAGGATTATTGCTTTGAAAGGATTTACATGTGATACCTAACCTACAAAATCTAGAAATATAGACTGCCCTCCCTGCTTTTATACTTGATAAGCTAATTTCTCAATCAGAGAAAATGACAAAAATCATCAAAACAGTGTGTGAGAAATAGTGCAACAAACCAAGTTTCCAGGGAAAACAGTTAATTACTGCATATTATTTTTCCCATTGGTTTTAACATTATTCTATGTTAATCTGTTTTCAGAATAAAACAGGAATGTTATAAATGTTACTTTATGTTTCTAAGGTTGTATCATTTCAGCTATAGACACTTTAATTAGGTAACCCAATAACTTAAAAATCTTAAATGTTAAAAAATTAACATAATTTTTAAAATGAATGCAATAAGAGCTAAATAATGAGTAGAAGCTTAGGTCAAAGAGTAGGAGCTTATCTCTACATAAATATAGCTAGAAAAGTGTACTTGTCACTCTAACAACCAACTTTGTAGCTACTACGGAAACTCCACATATACTGCCCTTTCTCTCATACCAACAATGCCAATCTGTCTTGTCTCCACTTGAGCCCCATCTCCTCTTTGCAGCATATTCCAAGTACTCTGTTCCACAATGATCTCCTCCCTACCTGTGCATGAACCTCATCTTTGGATTTAGTCCTATGTTATTGTGTGTTATATAATCTAATATTATATTTATCTCCCAACCAGATTTTATGTTTTCAGCGAACTTCTCTTGCATTTCTCATGGAGCATGGCATAGGGCTAAACATATAAGACACTCAAACACTTCCATAAGTGAATAGACGAAATGATTTCCATGAATTGTGTTTTGCTTAAAGCTTCAATTGCTGATTTTCTCACCTCCCTCAAAATGAAGATGCAAACATCATAAAACTTTTACAAAGTCTTAGATTGGACACAGTGAAAGGAGGTTATCAAAAGGGTTGTCAGCAAATCATAAGAAGTCTTCAATATGAAAAGGCAAGGTAATTCCTTGCTCTGCTTGCCCATAGTAAGGCTAAGGGGCTTACAGCTGCACCTTGTTGCTAAGTAAAATCCCCACAAACAACCAGGAAATACGCTTTTTATACATATCAAAGAAGAAAGAGAAAGAGGGAACAGGTATCTCAAGGCCATCTCTATCCTTGTATCCTTTAACCAATTTATTGAAGTTCAAAAGAGAAGAACTATTTACAGAATTCCATAGCTGAATCATATATAATGCATTTATTCAATAAATACTATTTCCAATATCATAATAATAACTAACATTTTTTAACATTCTTTTGTGTCATACATCGCGTTAGTATTTTTCAGATATCATTTTATTAAACTCTGGTAACACCCTATATAACATAAATACCATAATTATCTTCATTTTAGACATTAGAAAGCTTAAAGACTTGCTCCAAGGCAACAACACTAGTAAGTCACAAAGCCAGAATATATAACCAGGTCTCTTATGCCAAAGCCCAAAAGACACCACCATCTACCATTACAAGATCCAATTATGAACAGTATAAGTACTAAAAAGTACTTGGGTTCTCTTTCAGAACTTATTTTTCTATTTGAACATTTAAAAATTAAAAACAATACATAAATCAGTGGTATTAAAAAAGGCTGAAACAAGGGGATCTCCAGGTTCTGAGGTAGTAAGCTGAAAGAAACTGGCTTAAAGCCAACTGACTTCAGGATTCCCAGTACTACACCCATAGCAAACAAGCATCAAAGGGAGGAAAAAAACAACAACAAAACAAGCAGTTAAATACGGACCTTATGGGCAGAAAGACCAGCTAAGGTATAATTTCTCCATCACCCCTAAAGAGCTTATGGGGAATTCAGATTTAATTTACATTTGCATTCATTCCATGTACAGGCCACATGCCATTCAGACTTGTAGGATGTTCAGCAGAGAATAAGAACTCTAGAAAATGCTGTTATTGTAGGACTTTAGGCTATGCATTATCTGTATACATTAATAACCTCCCTCTAGCACGCAAAGCTAGCTTCAGAGAAAAGAAAAAGGCCTAGAAATTAAGGTCTAAAGAGAATTTTCCATTCAGATTCACTTGTTCAATTGACAGAAATCTCAGGCAGCATTTAAAGCAGTGACCACAATAAGGCAAAAGCTTAATGTTACCAACCACTATCAGAATTACTGTTATGGTCTGAGGTCACTTAAGAGGAAGCAAGCAATCATGGGATATAGTTTCAGGGATAGCTATAAAGCTATCTATCACCTATCCCCTAATACCTTGGGGGAGGGGAGTGTTGGTGCTTGAGTTTCCACCAAAAAAATAATAATAAATCATTCCTTTGGCTTTTAAGCTTAGTCTTGTGACAATGCAAAATTAAACACCACTGGGTTGATAGCAGTTTATGCCTTGGGGCTTATTTACACCGAAGATTACCCCTGTTTATTAGATTTCTTCAAGATTTTTTCCTTTTTTTGCTAAAAAAAGGAAGGGGAGGATTTGAGGGCATTAAAAACAAGCGAAAAGTGGACAGATGAGAAGAGCTTTCCACTGAGAAAGATCAAAGTATGCAAACAAGGGAGTGGGCTCCAGTCAGTAGTATAATTTGCAAGTTCTCTCTCTCCTTCTGTTGCCATTACAAATTTAGTGTAGTCTGTCCATCTGTTTCTCAAAATCTTCTGCAATATAGCAATTATGCTGCTTTATTTACAAGGAAACTGACCCAAAGAACGTCACGCAAAGGAGTCTGAAACGTACAGCAGAGTGTAGGTTGTTACACACACTCAAATGTATCCACTTGCAGGCAAAATGTCTTGACTTCCCACACTTTAGGTAAGGCTGCAGCCGAAATCTCCACCTAGAAGGCCAAAGGCAAAGAGCCCGGGGTGGGGGCGGGAAGCAAGCTGGATGGCTCCAGGAAGTGGGTGGGGAGGAAGCTGCCGGGTTTGGAGCCAACCTTGCAGACAGCAGGTTTGCACACGCCTACCAGAGGGAGTCCTGGGCCACTGCGCGCATTGCTCACAAGCGCTTTTGGCAATGCTGTCCCCTTCGATTCCTGTCATCACCCAACCCCACAGCTCGGGTGTGCGACGTGAAAAAGGGCTTGTAATGTGGGCGGAGGCCAGGGGTTCCCGCCGCTGAGTCACAGCCCAGCCAACTTTTACAGCATTTCCCAGAAAGGAAATTAAGTCTCAGTCCCGTAGCCTACACTCGCTCCTAGTTGCGGCTCTCCGCTCTGTCACTCGACCCGGCGGTGACTCGAGACCCACAATCGGGCTATTTCCCACTCACTGCGCAACTTCACACCCGCGCAAAGCCTCGGGGTACCCTGAGCGCTTGCCAAGCGCTACCGACCGGGTAGATGGGAGGGTAGATGGGAGCCAGAAGGAGGGAGGGGGAGGGCTGCGTCCTCACCTGCAGGACACGGACACCTCCACTCGTGTGGCCGGGATGGCCGCGCTCAGCTGGCTTAAATCCCCGAGGCCGGCGGTGCTGGTGTAGCGGCTGTCCATCTTGGAGGTAGGCGCCGTGGGCTTGGCTGGCGCCCACATCCAGAGCTCCGGCCGACTGAGAGCTCCTAGCCCAGCTCCCGACAGTCGGGGTTGGAGGTTGAGGAGGAAGAAGGCAGAGGCAGCTCGCGGGAAGTGGGAGGGAGGGGAGAGGCGGACCTCAGTGCAAAGCCACGAGGCAGCAGCAAGCCAGGCCTGCACAAGCTGAAGCTGCCGGGGAAGTGGCGCACCGGGCTCTCAGCTTCCCCGCCCCCTCCTTGCAGGCAGCAGCCCCGGCTGAGGACACTCCGCGATCCTTTCCCGGCTCTGAGCGTCAGGCTCTGAGGAGCCACCGGGCAGCCTGGCGGGATAGGTGGCCGCAGACCCAGAACCCAACCGTCTAGTAGAGCAAGCCCAGCCCGGTTTGGAGCGCGGTTAGGGTTTTGTCTCCGCCTCTTCACACCCACGACAGTTCCTAAATCCCGCATCATAAGCCCACCCCTTCCCATCCAGCGGTGATCCTCACCTCGCTCTCGGAGTCCACGGAGGTCCCCCCCACTACGCCATAGGACAGGCGAGCCGAGTCCCCGCTTCTGAACTGTCCGCCCGCTGCCGCTTAAGGATTGGGGAGGATGAGACGGACTTGGGGACGATCTCCAACCTTATGTATGCGGTGGTAAAGTAACAGATCAATATATGGAACAAGATGAGAGCAGGGTGGACCTAAGGTGGAGGGGGAAAAAACTATATGGGATTTAAGGGAGCCATCTGGTTTCCCTCTTCCTTGAGTTCTTCGGAACATGGGGGTCTAAAGGTGACAATCCTTCTACTTTCGGGGCTCTTCTGCACCCCCTGGTTTCCAAATGCATGGAAGTTACGCTCTAAAACCTGAATCACAACCACAAAACAGACCTCCCTCACTCCGACTCCCACCCGGCAAGACATGAATGAACCTGGACGGATGAAAGCAGAACTGAGCCGGAGTGAGCGCAGTGCTGGAAACTGGATTCTGGGGCCGCCAGACTTGTGCCAGGATGCAGAAGCTGCAAAAGCCGCGAGAGGTACCCGCCGCTCCCCTCCATTACAGCGACATTTATTACAGGCACCTTCCCTCCAGCGTCACCCCAGCGCCTGAGGGTCCCCGGACGCTCACCACCAGGGGGAGACAGAGATCAGGACGCGGAGTACCGCGAAGCAGGAGAAGGGGTACAGAGGGACGGAGGGTTATGGGTATCCACCTTCCTTTAAAGCGCCAAAGCACTGAGTTGCCCGCTGGCAAGACTAACTCAGGGAGGAACCGTTTTCGTGATTTGAGGACCTACCCTACGTTGGTTGTAACATTTTAATACAATTGGAGCCACCTGCGTAGAGAATCTATAGAGTTGCTGGTGAGGATGTGTGGGTGCAGTCTGGAGGCTTTGCGCTGCCAAAAATCCTTCCCACGTTTCATTCTTGGTTTCCTTTCCTGATCTCCCCACCCACCACTTGTCACACTTTAGTCTAGAGTTTTCTGTTTCCCTTTGCCTATTGGAAAATGTCCTAAAACTCCAGACATTTCTGTTATGCTGTCCAAAACTAGCTTAGGGGAAGAGACCTACGTATGTTTTTTAAGCTAACCATACTTTTATTTTATAGAAGCCTACTGAAGAAATAAAAGTAAGATCTATTCTGTGTCTAGTAATCATGAAAATATGTATTAGGTGAGCCGACGCGGATTGTGAAAGAATTCACAGAAATATCAGCAAGAGAAGAAAACAAAGTTTTTATTCACTTTCCAAGGGAGGAAAGGAGCCAGACTCATAGAGTAGAATCGGCACCGAAGGGTGGAGGTTTGAGCCTTTTACTGGGCTTCACAGGGCAAGGTGCAGGAAAAGGGGGTGGGTTTATGTCTATTCTGGTCCACAGCAGTACCCGGGCCGGCTGTGTCTCTGTAGGATGTGGTTTTTCAGAGAATAGACTTGCAGTCTTCAGTAATTTTCCAGTTCTGGGGTATCTGAAAGAGACTTAATAGGGGCCCTTGACAGGTGTTAGATGGGTTTACAATATGTTCTTGTAAAATTCTTAAGAAAGGCACCTTTTAAAGACTTTAAAACATCTTTATTGGAGTATACTTGCTTTACAATGTGTTAGTTTCTGCTGTATTACAAAGTGAATCAGCTATTTGTATACATATACCCCCATATCCCCTCCTTCTGTGCATCTCCCTCCCACCCTCCCTATCCCACCCCTCTAGGTGGACACACAGCACCGAGCTGATCTCTCTGTGTGATGCAGCTGCTTCCCACTAGCTACCTATTTTACATTTGGTAATGTATATATGTCAATGCCACTCTCCCACTTCGTCCCAGCTTACCCTTCCCCCTCCCCGTTTCCTCAAGTGCATTCTCTATGTCTGTGTCTTTATTCCTGTCCTGCCCCTAGGTTCTTCAGAACAATTTTTTTTTTTTTTAGATTCCATATATGTTAACATACAGTATTTGTTTTTCTCTTTCTGACTTACTTCACTCTGTATGACAGACTCTAGGTCCATCCACCTCACTACAAATAACTCAGTTTTGTTTCTTTTTATGGCTGAGTAATATTCCATTGTATATATGTGCCACATCTTATGTATCCATTCATCTGTCGATGGACACTTAGGTTGCTTCCATGTCCTGGCTATTGTAAATAGTGCTGCAATGAACATTGTGGTACATGACTCTTTTTGAATTATGGTTTTCTCAGGGTATATGCCCAGTAGTGGGATTGCTGGGTCATATGGTAGTTCTATTTTTAGTCTTTTAAGGAACCTCCATACTGTTCTCCATGGTGGCTGTACCAATTTACATTCCCAACAACAGTGCAAGAGGGTTCCCTTTTCTCCACACCCTCTCCAGCATTTACTGTTTGTAGGTTTTTTGATGATGGTCATTCGGACCGGTGTGCGGTGACACCTCATTGTAGTTTTGATTTGCATTTCTCCTAAAGACATTTAAAGGATTTCAAGGAATGTAGGGTTTATTCTATGAAAGTTCTTAATGTTAACTAGTTATCTTTGGATAATCATATTCATATGAACATCTAACTCTAGAAGAGTTGTAAACTGCCGTTTTCCCTGTTAGATAAAAGAATTTCATCTTTGACTCTTCTTTGTGCATAAAGTAAGTTGCCCTGTCAGATTAGTTATTTGAAACCAGTGCAAAGTATTTATTGGACATTTCCATGAGGAAGTGACATTTTAGATAGACCATAAGGGATGAATAGGAGTTTAAGTAATGATGGAATAAAGAAGATGTGTATATATATTGATTTTTTTTTTTCAAGCTTCAAGGAGGAGAGGTGCATAGTAGGGTAGAATGGTTCAGGGAAGGCCATGTAATTGAATTATAGTGAATGTGGATCCCCTTTAGTAATATGAGCTATATAAGTAATTTAAAATTATTACTTGGCAGATAAGTGGCACTTCTTGGAATGCTACTTTGGGTAGCTTACATGAGAAAATAGAGCTAGAGAATTTAAACCATCATCACCAAATTATTATTATCACCCTAAGCATTATTATTGTTTTTTTAAATTTTTAATTAATTAATTTATTTATTTATTTATTTATTTTTTTGCGGTACGCGGGCATCTCATTGTTGTGGCCTCTCCCATTGCGGAGCACAGGCTCCGGACACGCAGGCTCAGCGGCCATGGCTCATGGGCCTAGCTGCTCTGCGGCATGTGGGATCTTCCTGGACCGGGGCACGAACCCGTGTCCCCTGCATCGGCAGGCAGACTCTCAACCACTGCGTCACCAGGGAAACCACATTATTATTTTTATAAATGTTTTCAGCTGCCAAATTTACCTAAAGTTTCTTCAAGTAGCTTTTCACTAAATCTCCTAATTCAGAGTTTGATTTTTCAAAGCTGCTGTAAGAAATCCATTTTCAAGAATGTATCAGAAAGGACAGGCCTAAAGAATTCTCCAGCTTATTCAAAGAATATAGGAAAGTAAACATTCTTATAAAAGGATTATAAAGTCTAAAATATTTTGCTTGTACAGGAGCCTTCCTAAATGCCCAAAATAGACTAGATTGTAGTACAATACCTTTTACCTTTAACTATCATAATTAGAATAATTATTGTGTGACAACTTGTTTGATACCTATTGCCCCTGCTAGACTTTCAATTTCAAGAGCATAAGGAGCATATCGTCTTCATTGATTATCTCCTCTGCCCAGCATACTGACTGATGTGAGTCAGGTGCTGTGTGGCCAGCAACTGTTGAAAGTATCAAAATTTGCTTTGATATATTGAGTTAAAGTGAGAGCTGAGCACTCAGGTGGAATGTACCACAGGCATTAGGAGCTATGGTGAGGAAACAGGATTGTTGAGGTTGGAATCAACAGCTTAGAGTTAGAGTTGGAGCCAAGCATATGAGTGACACTCCAGGGAAAAAGGAAAAAGGAATAAAAATAAGAATCAAGTAGGATGAGCATCCACCCTGGAGAAAAGAAAACAAGGAAGGGTCCCACCAAGGAAATGGGTGGGGAAGAAGCACTTGAACAAATAGGAGAGAAAAAAACCCAAGATAAAGATACTAAGGAAAAGGAAGAAGAGGCTTTCAAGGAGAAAGAGACCAACAGGATCATTGCAGCAGGTGCTGCAGAGGCCACATTACTGCCTTGTTTCTTTTTCTGGCTGTGGGCTTGCCTCATTCTCTTTCTTGGACAATTACCAGTATTACAGAATACTCTAAAGATTTTCAGTTATTATTCCAGGTCTGTTTTTCAGACTCTTCAGCTGCAATGCTCCCGGAAGCTCACCTTTAGCCCTACTTTACTGCCTTGAGCTTGAAGCCTACCCTATTTCAGAAGTCATCAGTGCAAAAACTAGGTATCTAGTAAGCAATTGCATTGCTGAGGACCTCATACAGAAACAATGGCATTTTATGGCCATAATGTGTAAGGAACTAATGCCTAATTTTCAAACCTGATTTAGACCTTTCCTAGAGCAGGGGAGATAAACATTAATTAGTATGTGGTCAGAGTCTATTCTGGTTTCTTTCCTGCATGGACAATTAGAATGTGCAACCATCGAAAAAAATGAAAGTTTTGTTGGAAACTGGAGAGACACACACAGAGAAAAGTATATAAATCTTAAGTATTTAATAACTTAGTGAAATTAACATTTTGGGGGATAACCCAGCCTTTTGATATATTTTAACATAGATATTTCAATGAGACAATGCTAAAATTTTGCTGAAACTTTCCCTAACTGCCCAAGAGATTTGGTCAGAATTTTGTAATTCACAAAACTCTTTTTCATACCTTAATAATTGCTGTTAAATTTACCATGATTTGTCACAGTCGATGGAGTATTTTCTATTCAAGTTCAAATAATTAAATCATCGTGTTTCTCAAGTGAGTCTCTTAGAATGTTGTAAGGTTAATAGAAATAAACATGGGGTTTTAGTTGTTAGATGCTCAGGGAAAGTTCCCACAGACACTGAAAGTGATAATCTTGTTTTAAAAAGGACTTTATTTATTCTATGAAACTGTGTTGCAGTTTAGTTTTTGCTTTAATGAAGGATAACTTATGGCATTTATTAAGCTCCTCCTTAGTTAAAATTCATCTACCAAGAGCTGTCCAAGGAACAATTATCTTTAAGTTTCAACATCATAACATGTCCCTGTTTTTGCCTATTGACGTTGAGGGACCAAACCCCCATAGATACTTTTGCCAAATGGCATTGATGCTGCTAAAGAGATTCATAGTAGGAAAGCATTCTGTTGAGACCCACATCTTAATGACTGGAGTCAAGTTTTTGTATTTTGTGGTCTTGTTTTGAAAATATAGACAGTAAAATAAAGCATAAGCCCACTTACGTCACTGTGTCTCTGGACTTTTCAAATGGTATTCTGATCAGCCCATGTCACTGAAAATTATCTTGGTGAATTAGGAGATTTGAATTTTAGAGTCCTACATTTAACTCAGCAATAGTTTACTAATGAAGTAATTTGAGACTTCTTTAAAAACACTATTTTAGGGTGTTAAAAGTTCAAATATTGAGGAGTCAAGATGGCATACTAGGAGGACGGGGAATTCACGTCT